CTTCCTTCTAGTTATGATAACCAAAATGGTCTCCAGACACTGCCATGTGCCCCGTGGGGGCCTATATGGCCCCTGACCAAGAACCCTGATTTAGAGTAGACCCAACAGTACCTGCTCATGAACTTGATGGGCAGGGTGGGCATGGGACAGGGAGGCTAGTACTGGACAGAAAGACTCGTTTTTGTTTTTCCTTTTGAGACGGAGTCTCACTCTGTCATCCAGGCTGGAGTGCAGTGGCATGATCTCGGCTCACTGAAACCTCTGCCTCCTAGGTTCAAGCAATTCTCCTGCCTCAGCCTCCTGAGTAGCTGGGACTACAAGCACACGCCGTTACGCCCAGCTAATTTTTTGTATTTTAGTAGAGATGGGGTTTCAGGCAACCAGGCTGGCTTCGAACTCCTGAGCTCAGGCAATCCACCCACCTCGGCCTCCCAAAACGCTGGGATTACAGGCGGGAGCCACAACGCCCAGCCAGAAAGACTTATTTTTTAGCATCCACTTTGGGTGACACACAACGCCCCTGGAAGGACAATTGTCCACTGCCTGGTGCCCAGGTTGTCCCCACTGTCTCTGTGGGGCCAGGAGGGCCAGCCATATTGGATCCTGGCTGTGCCTCTGAGACCTCCCTACAGCGGTAAACTTGGGTGGAGTGATTCAGTCCCTTGGGTCACCAGCTGCCTGTGAGGATACCGCTTGGTGGCCAACTCTGCTTCATTCTGCATTGTGGCAAAAATGAAATAAAATAAAACAGCACACTGGTGGAAGCAGAGGGCATGCTCCACAGCCACGGTAAGCTACTCTGCTGGGCAATGTGAGGAATAGCCACAGCTACACACATATGTGAGGTCAGCTAGCCTCGAGTGAAGGTCAGGGCCGGCCCAGGGGTACAGAGACCATGCTGCTCTGAAGACCTGAAAATTGCCCTTTGCTTTTCCTCAACATAGCTCTCCCTGCCAGCCGCTGCACGGGCAGCTGAAAGATCCTTCACTTCCAGGAGGCTGAGCGTGACCGCAGCATCTTAGGGAGGGAACATCCACCTAGAGGACACTGGCACTCCTGTGGCTGGGAGCAAGGCCTACAGGGAAGAGGACGCTGGGAGGCATGTGTGGATGCAGAGTGTCCTGGGAGGGGCAGGCCAGGCTGGGCGGCTGCAGGATTAGGGGACTTTGGGAGGGAGGGTGGCAGCAGTGGGTTGAAGCCATGAGCATGAGGGGAGAGCATCCCCCAAAAGGAGGCGAGAAAATCAGCAAAGATAGACTTTGCCAAGGTTGGATCTTGGCTTTGGTGTTTGTTGATTTTTTTTTTTTTTGAGACAGAGTTTCACTCTTGTTACCCAGGCTGGGGTGCAATGGCGTGATCTCGGCTCACCGCAACCTCCGCCTCCTGGGTTCAAGCAATTCTCCTGCCTCAGCCTCCCTGAGTAGCTGGGACTACAGGTGTGCGTCACCATGCCCAGCTAATTTTTTTTTGGTATTTTTAGCAGAGACGGGGTTTCACCATGTTGACCAGGATGGTCTCGATCTGTTGACCTCGTGATCCACCCGCCTTGGCCTCCCAAAGCGCTGGGATTATAGGCGTGAGCCACCGCGCCCAGCCTGATTTTTTTTTTTTTTTTTTTTAAGCGACAAGGTCTTCTTCTGTCACCCAGGCTAGAGTGCACTGGTGCAACTGTAGCTCACTGCAGGCTCGACCTCCTAGCCTCAAGTGATCCTCCCCCACTTGGCCTCCCAAAGTGCTGGGATTATAGGTGTCAGCCACTGTGCCCAGCCTGTTTTAACTCTTTTTGAGGCCAATTCCCTCCATTGCGTTGTCAAGTGCTGGGTATTTTTGAATGTTCCACATTTGAACATTTTCCCCAATTTTTCGCCCATGAATAAATGCAGAACGAGGCGGCTGACACTAAAAGTGGGGACAGTCCTGAAGCTGCACCCACCGTGTGGCCAACAGGATGTGTGAAAAATACCCATTTCTGGAGAAAAAGTCTCAAGATTTGAGCAGAATTCATTCGGGAATTGTTCCTTCTGGTGGAAGGGGACCATCCATCCTTGGATGATGTCATCAGAGGCCATCCCCTGCAGTTTGAGGCACAAGACTGTAAGCTCCATGCAGGCAGGGGCCGTGCCAGCCTCTTCTTCCCCAGGGTCTGGCACAACTCCTGGCCCTAAGCAGGTGCTCTGTGAATAGTGCAGGAATGAATGAACGTGTGACCTGCCAGAACTCCATCCCAGTCACTGTCTGGGCTTTGATGCAAAGCAAGACATATTTAAAGAAAAAAAATGCGACCTTAAAATGGAGGGTCATGCTGAAAAACAGGTGAGGAGATGAAAGTATCTGCGGAGTGTGTCTGAAGCCAAATGCTCTTTGTTGAACACTGGAGGAAAAATAATTGCAAAGGGATGTAAATAAGGCCAAGTACACAGAGGAATGATCATTATCTTTATTCATACACACTTGCTTCCAAACTACAATTAATGTATCTAACAAAGCATATCATGCAAACGGAGATTAGAGGTTATACAAACTGAAAAAAGCAATGCAGTAATTTATACATCCATCTCCTCTGCTATATAACCAAATGGTGTTTGACAGCTGAATGGCCTCTACATTTTGTCAGTAGGTGCTTATACAGAAGGAAAAACCTCAACCTCCGTCTCTTCCTCCAGACAAAGTTGGGGTCTTATGTGATGTTTTTCAATCAATGATTTAAACATGGTATGTCCTTCACACACAAAAATCATGTAGCAAAAGCAATGACTTCAAATGCTTCTGTTCATAAAAGATATTCTCAGACCCTAACAGAAGGGATGTGAGGTTAATTTTGAGAAAACCTTTAGACTCAAAATAGTAACTACCTTCATGAATGATTTTGAATATTCTAGTAAACCAACCAATGCTTCAAGAAAAGAATTCCATTCTTCCAGGAAGAATATCAACAAAAGTCTACAGTCACAGGAATGGATACCCCTAAAGATAGGCGGAGGTGACGAAGACACAGTTGTTTAACTGGAAAATGCAAAGCTGCCTTTTATCTTATTTTAGAAATGAAGGGCCTTATAAAGTGGGCTTCATACCTACTTTCTGAACAGTGGAGTTTGGTCTACTCACGTAAGTGTATTTATGAAACAGACATCAACAGGCACGTGTGCTGCTGCCTTTTCTATCTTGGGAGTCTGAAGTATTTCTGAGTTGCCCAGTGGGCAAAATCCTTACAGAGCATCTCTGAATCTTCACCCAATGTGAAAGACCTGGGGACCTGGGGCATCTGGGGACAGAGCTGAGGAAGCGTCCTCCTTCTGCCAAAAGGTGGCCACAGAGCCTCTTGGAACAAGGAAAGGGGTCCCAGACACCCCTGGAAATCCTATTCCAGGGCTGCCTCTGGATGGGGGACACTAAAGCTGTCTTTCCTGTGGTTTGGAAGTTTCTAGACCTTAAGCAGTTGTCCCCAGTGTCTATTAAAAACTCACAGAGCATCAGTCTGCCAACAAGTTCTCCCTGAACTTGTAGTCATTCCCACGTGGACTCCACACCCTAGGAGCACGGGGGAATCTGGCAGTGGGGGAGCAGGTCAGGCATGCTCCAGCTGACCCAGGCTGAGTCCTCCTACAAGCTCCAGGGGATTTGACTCTTAGGAAATTGTCAGTGGCTTTATTCTAAAAACTCATTTTTAAAGAAGAATTGAGTTACTAAAGTTCTCCATAAAAAAGTACAAATAGCCCAGTATATTCAGTTGCTCTACTGGAATTAACAAATAATTTCTTCCTTTAGGTTAAAAAAAAATCTTTGGAATCTGTGGGCTTTTGTGTAGGGTCCCTGTAAGGCTGTTGGATGGCTGAGTGTGACCTCCACGGTCATTAACTGTCACCTGATCACATAGAGGAGAGGCACAGGGGTCAGAACCATTCATGCTGTTGACCTTTCCAAAGAATCCCTGACACTACAGAATTAACACAATTGTGGTTGATCCCATTTCTAGAGGACAGCCTTCATCCATGGGTACCTCAGGTAACCTTCCCAGTTTTCTGGATCTTCTAACAGCAGAAACAGACAGCATTCCCTAGATCTGCTGCGTCAGCCTGAATGGGAGGAGACAGGAATGTTGACTGTCCAGTGTATTTCACAACCTGTAGCCCGAGCAGCTCAAGGAAAATGACATTTAAAAAATTCCACCAGGTGCTGTGGGTCACCTGGGCTGGGCGTGGTGGCTTACACCTGTAATCCCAGCACTTTGGGAGGCTGAGGCGGGGGGATCATGAGGTCAGGAGATCAAGACCATTCTGGCCAACACGGTGAAACCCTCATCTCCACTAAAAATACAAAAATTAGCTGGACATGGTGGCAGGCACCTGTAGTCCCAGCTACTTGGGAGGTTGAGGCAGGAGAATCGCCTGAACCTGGGAGGCAGAGATCACACCACTGTACTCCAGCCTGGGTGACAAGAGTGAAACTGTCTCAAAAAAACCAAACCATTAAAAAACTTTTTGCAACACACTCCTTGTCAAATTGGTGTGGGGCCACTAAAAACAGAGCATCCTTGTCCCTCTTCGTGACTGTCATGCCTACTGCTGTCCTGGTAACTTTCACGATCACATCCTTTGGGTCCCTGGCTCAGCCTCTGTTTTGTGATTATGATTGTCTGGTGTGCCCAGTGGGGGAACAGGCGCTCCTACCCTTTTTGGGTTATAAAGAAACAGCAAATGGTGTGATGTGTACACACAAGAAATAGACTTCATAAGACCAAAGTGAGAAAATGACTGTCAGATGGCATCACCTTTCTGAGGCTTTTAAAAACACAAGACTGTCACTTTTTCTCTTTTCAGTACTGAGAAAACACATCCCAGAAAAAAAAAAAAATCCCCTCTGAAATGTCTCCTGTCTCCTGCTAAGTGGAACCAGGTGGATATGGCGGTGTTTTTGATACTTCTCCATTCCTCCTCAGCTGCCATAATTCTTGGCAAGGAAGCCAGAGAGGAAACGGGCAGGAATCTACCTGCCTCTGGTGCCCACTGGATGGTCTGGCTCTACCCAGAAACTGACGAGCTACTTCAAGGTGGGGAGGGGAAAAGGGGCTTCTGGCAGCTGGTGGGGATGTTAGAATTTGGGGGGTGTTTTCTGAGGAGGAACAGACCGTGTCCCTGGCAAAACACTCTCTTGAGGGCCAGCAGATGGAAACTTCCATCTGCACTAGCCACCTCCGATGGGAAGCCGCTGACAAGGGCACCCCTTCCTCCCCCTCTCACTGTAAGGCATATTTCTGGATGCACCCAAACGCTGTTCTTCCCTGGCTCCTTCCTGACTGCAGCCCCCTCCTCCCTCTCCCTTCTCAGCATGTCCGTGGTGGGGTTCTCTGGACGTCTGTCCACTCCTTCAAGGAAGTCATCACACTCGCCTAAGGACTTGGGCTCAGAGAGGCGCTCGACAGTCGTTTGCTGGATTGTGTTAATCTTGGTCTTTCATAATCTTTCCACCAAGCACCGGCCAGGCTTCCAGAGCTCTTGACCCCATGATTTTCTATCCAAATTCTGAATAAGAAGGCCTAATACGTGGCATCAGAAAGGGCAGACGGGGGCTCTGCATGGACCCACCAGGCCTCGGGATGAAAGAGGAGGAGTGCTGCTGAAGCAATCATTTTGGCTCCTGTGGTTTCTGATCTGCCTTTTGAATTTGTTTTTCCCTGGAGGTGGGCCCCCATTAGCCCAGAGGGCAGCCCCCTGCAGCATACTCCAGTGACTTCCTTTCAAACCCGACACCTGGTGACCTTCATCGAAACGCCAAGAGATGGGCTGCCAGCCCACGGCCTGCAGCCTTGGAGGGAAATTCTGCCACCAAGGAGTGGCCACCTTCCAAGGGAAGACAACGCAGAGCCGTTTGGATGGCCTGGTGTGGTCATAGCTCCATGGGTCCTGTGGGGAGGTGGATGGTGCCCGACTCTGCCTGGCTGCTTAGACCTGCACAGGCCCTGGCAATCATGCAGTGCTCAGGAGCAGGCACTCCCCAAAAGGTCCCCCAGGGCCCTCCTGCGTGGCTGCGTCAGCTCCACATCACACCCCTGCTGCTATCTCACTTCACACGATGCCCACGAAGGGGGCAGTGCCATAGAATTTCATAAACTGATTCTGGGGCGAGCCATTGCTCATGGTTACCTACAGGACAGTCTTCCCACAGTAACTGTCTTCGGCTGCTGAGATCTGCAGAGCTCTAACCATTATCCACATTCAACACTCAGCAATGGATACCCAGGCTCCACAGGGCAACCCTGCACTGGACCCTGATTTACTGTTTCCCCCCGAGGCGTTTGTGCTGGGGTCTTCTGTCCCTCAGGCAGTGTGCTGGGCACCCCCATCGAGGCATTTTCTTTGAAAACTTTGCCACATGGTCTGAGAGATCATCAGCCAGCTGAGACAGTCGACGCGTTTCCGAGAGAAACAAACTTGTGGGTGTTGGCTTTTGCAGGGAAAGCCTAAGCCTAAGCCTGCTGCTTGCTTAAAACAGGCAGGTTGTAGCCAGGCGCGGCGGCTCACGTCTATAATCTCAGCACTTTGGGAGGCCGAGGCAGGTGGATCACAAGGTCAGGAGATAGAGACCATCCTGGCCAACATGGTGAAACCCTGTCTCTACTAAAATACAAAGAAAAAAAATTAGCTGGCATGGTGGTACATGCCTGTAGTCCCAGCTACTTGAGAGGCTGAGGCAGGGGAATTGCTTGAATTCGGGAGGTAGAGGTTGCAGTGAGCTGAGATCACATCATTGCACTCCAGCCTGGTGACAGAGCCCCTAACCCCATGTGTTCCTCCGTGGGACCTTCCTCCTTTCTGGGGGCCTCGTGGGGGTCTGTCCTGCAGCTGCTCCATTCTGGAGCAGGGGGACCAGCCCTTTTGTCTCCTAGGCTCTTTTTACAAAACAGTCTCTTTCCCCTTGGATCGAAGGAGGCTCAGCTGGTCAGGACACGAACCCAGGTTGTTTACTGACCCGCAGGGCTGCAGGGACGGGGAGCCAGACCCCCCTGGAGTCTTGATGTCTACAGAGCATAAAAGACGGCAGAAGCAATGGCTCTTTTCTGCCAGGCTTGTTCCCTACCCTGGCTCTCCTACTCAGGGGTTTCCAGGTCTCACCTCAAAGAGTTTCATGGTTGTGTGTTCTGTGAATTTCATGCAAACAGCCAGAGGGGTAAAACAAGGCGAGCTTAGCTGGGAGATGCTTTTGGGAGGAAACTGAGCCGCTCTCTACAAGGACCAACAGCTACTTTCATTCTGTTTCTGTTTGTGGTAGAACCTGGCTCCTCGGAGGACCCTGCATGGGGGACGGGGGTGTCTCACCAAAGCAGCATGCTCCTCCCAAGGCTGGAAAGGCCAATGCCAGCAATGGCTGGAAGAAAGTCCACAGCCTCTGAAGAGCACGCACTGGTGCCTGCAGGGTACAGCTGTGTTGGTCTCATGAAGGTTGTGCGTGCTGGGGCAAACGGCAGGTCATTGCAGAGGCAACAAGACAGAAAGCATGCTTCCTACATGTCCAGTACACACAGCAAGGGGGGTCTCCTCATCCCTCCCCGCTACCTGGAGTCAGCAACAGTCGCAGTCTGAAGGGAAGAATGAAACACACACACACACACACACGTGCGCGAGCACACAAAGGTCAGCCCAGGTGCTGCAGCAATGGCACATGTGCCCCAACGTACTAGGCAGACCAGAATCAGACACTTCCTGCTGTCCCCAAGAGGAAGAGTGGTGGAGGAACCGGGACGAGAGGTGGCATTAAGAAACTAAGAGGGAGTGTCAGCTCAAAAATAGTCCCCACCAATAAAACTCTTATTTGCAGGTAGAATCAAATATATATATATACGTATGTATGAATACATACGTATATATATATATATATATACACACACATACACGCACACACAGGTAGTAAGAGACTAATTTATCATGTAAAGTAGCCATTCGTTTTTGAAATTTGATCTACATTTAAAAATTAATCTATCTGATACAGTGCCAATGGGCAGGGAGGGAAAACACAGAAGCAAGGGATTCAGCTAAAACTTAATTAGAAAAGAGGATCAGAAACAAGAACCCGCACAAATAGAGCACAATTGTGTCTTATAAAATTATTATAATACTCTCTTTATACTTGATACGATTATATCAATAATATAGATTCACTTGTTATTAAGGTTTATTATAAACATGCAAAATTCATTGCATGATGCATTTGCAAAACATATTAAAATCCTTCTAGCAATAAAACATCTTTGAGCTGTTAGGCATCCAAGGTTTCCTGATTCTACAGCTCCAGGCGTGTCATTCAACATGAACTGGAAATGGGAACCAAAACCATGTCATTTTTATCCCTAAGTGGACATCAAGGGCCGGAGAAGGGAGGAAAACCAATCAGAAGGGGCTGACGCTAGAGTCAACACTTCGATTAAGTTACTGTACATCATACTTTCATAAACGACACTGCGGCCTACTAAATAAATAAGTACAAAAGGGGAGAGGGCGTACACTTCAGCTTCTTGAGGAGGTTAACAAGGTAGGTAGCAAAATATTGGTGTTTGGGGGGGGTGGGTGTTGGCGAACAACGCTCGTGAGTAGTGGCATGATTACTGATGGCACCCTGGATTGAAGAATAATCTCCCAGAGATTAAAATGAACGTACATACACACTGGCTTATCCTTGATCCGACATGATTTCACATGCTTGTTCAGCAAAGTCCTTAGACGATTTGGCCTCTTACAAAGAATGAAAGTTATCAAGACAGTTATCAACCAAGGAGGGCACCAGATGACAGATTCACCCAACACTCATCTGAGGCGTCTGTTTTTTTTAAACTGGTAACTGCCGGACTATGCTTAGGTTAGGAATTGTCAATGTTTGGGAACAGTGATTAGGTTCATCCCGGCCTTTCGGATTCTAGGGGCTGTTTCCATGGAGGCAGAGAATGGAAGCGGCGGATATTTTGAAGCCTTCCCCACCCCCAATCCCTCCTTGCTCTCACCCTCTTGGCTTCCTGTTCTTTGACTCCAAAGACGTCTTGGGTGGAGAGGTCTCCAGTCCCTGGGGCTGGGGCAGGCTCCCTTGAACATCTCTGGTGGGGGATTCCGATGGTGAAAAATCCACAGATGGAGGGTATGTAAAGTATATCAAATTGTACCCAAAATGGGGCAAGAATCCGTTTGCTTTCTAGGAAGGGTTAGCCTAGAGCCAGAAGTAACTTCTACAGAATTAAAGTGGACACTGTGCGTGACGTACCATCTTCCACTAAGATAATGTTCTTGGTTGTAAGAGAGAGACCCTGAACAGTTGATCACATTTGGACTAATAACCCTACAATTTTCAGGCCTCTACATGGAATCAGACACAAGGCCACGGCCTTAAAATTTTAGGGTTAAAGATAACTTCCCGCTGCTGGGAGGGCTGGGGGCTGGGGAGGCGTTTGTTCTCGCTGGTGAGTTTCATACTGCGCTCTGTAAGATGGGGTGCACAAACTGGGGGTTGACATATGAGAACCCTTCAAAATCAGACTGGTCTATGTTAGCAATAACCAGCTGATCGGGCGGTGTTAAGACAGGCTGTCCTCGTGTGAAGAACTTGTCAAAGTTTTCTGCTCCTTTGCCGCACTGCGGAGAAAAGACAAAAAGAAGCAAAGGTCAGTCAACGGGACAGGATGCAGGGGCGGCTTTCCGAGAGCCCTCTCTGGGGAGGAGCACGGCCCCGGGGACTCAGGGCTGGTTAGGCAGGAGGAATGCTGGAGGACTTGCAGGCCTGCTGGATTCAAAAGCCAGGCAGAGCAGACTACGACCAGTTACCCAACTCTAAGTCTCTAAATACCCCGAACAGAAACCCTGGGTGGGAATGCATGGCTGGCAATGAGGCAGCAACAAGGGGACAGCCCCTGTCCCTTCGTAGCCACCTCACCGAGCAAGCGGAGCTGAGAGCACGGATGCCACACAGGTGGGGCTGTCAGTCACAGTTCTGTGTTGAAAGGCCAGGGCGTCAGCTGGGGCTGCAGGCAGTTACCCCTGGGCCAAGCGAGGGGGCGAGTTACTGCCCCATCTGGCTCTTTGCTGCAATATTCGTAATGAAGTAAAAACTGTGTTATTCTTGCCTTCCAACTGGGCTGCTCTAGAAACCCCAGCCCCTAAATTAAGCTTCAAGCAATGAGGTAGGCATGGCAGCAAGGCTGGGAGATTTGCACCTGGCCAGCTAGAATTGAGCACAGCTAGACAGAGCTGGCCAGCAGGCAGGTGGGCAGCTGGAGCTCATTTGCAGGGTGGTCCCAGGCTGGAGGAGGTTTACATGGCGCCCTGGGGAAGCAGGGAGAGGCCTGCTGTCTGTCTCGGCCATTCCTCTCCTCCACGGTCCACTGGGGCGCTCCGAGCACATCGAGGCTGCAGGCAGAACCTCTGCACTGGAGTCTGAGACACACAGCCTCTTAGGCAGCACAGCTTGGCAGCCTGACTCCAAAAGCGGGGAAGGGGTGTTCTCTTCACTTTGTCAGCCACCCACAAGGGTTGTGACGTGTTGAAGTCCCCAGTATCCCAGCGTGACTCTGAAACAGGGAGAACTGGGAGTTTCACTGAGGATCCTAAGAATGATTTTCAAGATGTTGCAAATTATTTCCCTTGGACCAGCTGCGGGCACCACAGGACCAACATGAATTAATTCTGAGCTAGCGCACATTTCAAACGAACCAGGCACCCTCGGGTCTTTGGCAGGGAATAGCTCTGGATTCACTGTGAAGGCGGGGGTCCACCCAGTTTGCTCATCTGTAACTCCGGGAGAATAATCACACCTCCTGCCCAAGGCTGTCGTGAAGGTGAAATGTATGGGGTTTTGCACAGACCAGCCGAGGCGAGAGGCCAGCACATGCAGCTAGTGTTTTTAGAAGGCAGTTGAGTCTCACGGGCTGTGCTTTCACAGCTCCTTTTTCACACTTTATCTTCTAGGAGGTCTGCTTGGGAACCTACTTTTTTTGTTGTTGTTGTTTTGAGATGGAGTCTCACTCTGCCACCCAGACTGGAGTGCAATGGCGTGATCTCGGCTCACTGCAACTTCTACGTCCTGGGTTCAAGTGATTCTCCTGCCTTGGCCTTCAGAGTAGCTGGGATTACAGGCGCTCACTGCCACGCCTGGCTAAGTTTTTTGCATTCTTAGTAGTGATCCACCTGCCTTGGCCTCCCAAAGTACTGAGATTACAGGCCATTGTTCCCTGCCAGAATCTACTTTGATTACCCTTTTCCCACCTACTTTTCATCAAATAAAGTCTGCTAAGTACCTGTTGAGGTGGAAAGCATGTCAGAAATTCAAAGTAAGGTGTTTATAACAAACAGCTTTCTTTTCTAGGCTTTTTTTTTTTTTTTTTTGAGACAGGGTCTCACTCTGTCACCCAGAGTGGTGTGCAGTGGTGTGAGCAGAGATCACTGCAGCCTCAATCACCTGAGCTCAGTCGTTCCTCCCATCTGAGTCTCCTGGGTAGCCAGGACTGCAGGTGCATACCGCCACACCTGGCTATTTTTTGCATTTTTTGTATTGACAGGATTTCACCATGTTGCTTAGGCTGGTCTCGAACTCCTGGGCTCCAGCAATCTGCCGGCCTTGGCCTCCCAAAGTGCTGGGATGACAGGCATGAGCCACCGTGCCCGGCCTTCTGGCTTATTTCCATTTTAATAAGCAACATCTACTCGTCACCCAAGGAGAGTTCATGTCGCAATGAATGGTAAGTATGTGGGGGACGTGTGTGCTGGGGCAGAGGGGACGAGAGGCAGGGGTTTTCAAGTTACTCTGTGGAGTCATATAGACTACAAGGCTTACTGTCACATCGGCCCTGCCTCCCACATGTGGGGCAGCAAAGCTTCCACTCTCACAACCCACATTTCCATGGTGTATTTCCTTGGAAAAGCACAAAGCACCTCAAAGCCAAGGTTAGCAGAGGCAGAATCTGCAATTCATATCACCCTACATACACAGGCCACTTGCAAATACTTAGAAAGGCTCTTTGAAAAATAAATAGGGGCACGCTGTTTCTTCCTAGGAATTAGTCAGGAGTCCGTACTTAATTCATCAATTAAACAGAAACCAAGTTTCCTTGGAACACCACATTCAGAGGCTGCTGGGATGACAACAGCCAAAGAAAGAGCCCTCCTCTGGATATACCAGTGGTTCCCAGCCAGCGATGATTCTGCCCCTAGGGAACCCATTTTTGGTCATCAGGACTTGTGCAGGGCAAGACTGGCATCTAGCGGGTAGAGGCCGGGGATGCCCCGGAACACCCTACAAGGCCCAGGACACTGCCCCCACCCCAAAGAATGATCGGCTCAAAATGTCAACAGTACCTGATGCTGAGAAACTCTGGGGCATACCAAGACTATCGTGTGAGGCTGAGTAGGTCCTGAGATCAGTGTGAGGGCGGACATGAAGCCAGACTAGGGAATTAGGCAGGAGCAGCCGCATGCAAGAGCGGAGAATGGAGAAGCGTCAGAAGTCCCAGGGCGAAAGCATCTGGAGCAAGTGACAGCTCCGTGGAGTTGGCTGTGGAAACATCTTTGTGGAACCTGATTAATCAATACTCATTGCCTGGAAGAATTCAAGTGAATCTACAATCAGGGCTCCCAGAGGCTGGGATGTGTGCTCCCTTAATAAGAGATCATCTGTGCTTCTCTTGATACTCACTGACCATGCAAAGATGAGCAAGAAGGAATTTTTGGAAAAAATATGATAAAGGGATGTGAGTCCCTAAAAGGACGGGCAAGGCAAGCCAAGGTAAAATGTCCTCTCCCCTTTTCGCAGAACACATTGGTGAATTTAGAGCTGCATAGATAGACATCTAGGGTGGGTATCTGTCTATCCTGCTCTAAATGCATCATTGTGTTCTGTGAAAAGAGCGCACAGGTCTGACCTTTTCCTTTGAGTACTGTCTTTATGGCATTCGTGAATCATTGTCCAATGGGGCATTTCCAAAAGCCATGGCTTTACTGCCAAAGAAAAATAACAAGCAAACGACAAGGAGAGTTCCCAGGCTCTAAAATGGGTAGGACGGAAACCTTCCCACTGAGAAGCCTGGAGAGGCAGGCTTGTGGGCATCCAGTTCCAAGGCTGGTGTCCAGAGAAGGGTCAGTCCTGAGGGCGCCCACTGCTTGGTAAGCTAAGCACCGTGATAACATGGGGCAAAAATCCCTTCCTGGTTAAGGCCTCGTGCTCCACCTGTGCTGAGGATTGCAGAGCTGAGCGAGAAGTTAGGGAGCCTGGATCAACCCAGTGGCTGCCCTGCAGTCACACTGAGTGCTGCTGTGTGGCTCACTGCTGGAAACACCCTGCTCTCCTTTCTCACCGTAAATCTCTTTGGAATTTTCCCTGAACTCAAAGAGGGAGAAATCACACTTTTAACAAATGGAAGCTTTTCTTACATTGGTTTCACTTAGGTGGAGAGACAGGAGGCAGGCCAGGGCCGAGGGCAAAGGGTAAAAACTGAACCGCTGAAGTTCAGGCGCGTCAACCACGGGGCAGAAATGAGCCATGGGTGTATCTCAGCAAGCAACGGGGAAGAAAGCCCAGAAGGGCTGCAGGCGGACCTGAGAGTCAGATCCGCTCCTGACACTGAGAAGGACTTTTTATTCTCAGGGAGCTCAAACCAGAAATAAGTCTCCTTCCCCCACCAAGAGGCAGGGGGCAGCACAGCTGTTTCCACCCCAGATTTGGCGTGGTGAGAAATATCGTTTCCTTTTCCACCACGGAAGGTCTGCCAGTGCATTATAAATCAAACTTCCACAGCTCTTAGCAGAAGCAGGCCTGGAAGTAGACAATCCACTGTAAGTCAAATTGGAGAAGATCTTGAACTACTTGTTTCCCAAGATGTTGATATGGAAAACTGCATCTGACCTCATCACCACCAGCACCGCCACCTACTGAAAAAGATAATGAAAACCAGAGATTTTTGGATCCTTGGAGAAAGGGCAAGCAGTAGATTCGAGAGACTACTGCATTCCTAATGAGGAAGCGATTCTTCCTACGATCTGATCTAACCTTACTCATCACCATGACCTTGATGGGCAATGGCCTTGGGCACCATCTTGGAGCTGAGCAGGGGGCAAGAAGAGACAGAGAGGCTAAAGGGTGAGGGGGCATCTAGCATGACTGCATGAATGCCAAGTGAATGAGTGAAAGGCGACTGCAGCCAGCCTCCCGACACTCCTCAGGGATGAGGCAGGCAGGTAATCACCACGGCCACTGGAAGGGCAGCCTCCACAGCAGTCTGTGACAACAGGGAGGTGGTGTTGTCCATGGCCTCAGAGCCCTACGACATGGCAGCTAAAAGTAACATTTACACCTTGTGAGCAAAACTGGGCTGAGTATACACCATATCCACCTCCAAAGGTCACCCAGACCTTTCGCCAACTGAGGCTTCTGCCTTCTGGTATGCGACGTACCGCATGATGGATGTGGGACAGAGATAAAGGGGAAGAGGGCATCGGGGGTGGCCAGACCCAACCGGTTGGTGTGTGAGCCCAGGCGAGTTCCTCTGGAAATCCCTGAGACCAAGTGATATCAACACCCAAGGGAAAGTGGGGACACAGAGGGGAGAAGGATATGGCTAGAGATCAGGAGCCCCAACATATAGCTTTGGCAAACTCAACGCATCTCTCTGTGAAGGTAAGACGGGGATGCGGCCATCCACCATCCCAGGCTGTTGTGAGGATCCAGGGAACTAGTGAGTATGAGGCCCTTCCTCAATGAGAAGGTGGGACAGACAAAAGGGACACGCTGTGAAGCAAGTGCCGACATGTAAAAGGCATGCGATCGCTATCTGAATGATGAATGAACATTATGAATAAGCTACCTCCCTCTTTCCGATCTCTGGACTCAGGAATTAACTGCTTTGTCGTTTTGATGTTCTTACCTACGTGGTCAAACTGACAACGAATACAGTGAACCCAAGAGAAATTGGGCCTGGTAACGAATGTTACATGGCATGGAATGACGTGGCCTCTGGACCTGCAGTGTGCCCCCACTGAAGCCTCACGTGGCAGACACGCTGCTTACAGCCCCTTTCCTTCTGTGATGGGGCGTGCGGGAGACTGAGGTGCAATGTAGGAGTTGGCTTCGTGGCTGATTCTTACCTGTGAGGGGCCACTGAGCATGAGCAATACACGTGCTGGTCTCACCCCTGCCCTTTACCCCGGCGTCTGCCATGTAGGATCCAACCCCATGGGCACAGCTATGAGAATTACGCGAAATATGAGTAGCTCAAAACACTGCTGTTAAAAAGCAAAACCAAGCAAAACCCAGAAGAGGAGGAAGGGTGCAGAACAAATGAACAGTAAAGGGATGTTGCAAGACTATGGAGAGGAAACCTAACGAGGTGGGAGCCACCCCTCACGATGACCAAATGCAGGAGGACGTGCTTCATCGTAGGGGGACCCTTACTTGTAGTTCAAGTCCCAGCGCTGGGGTGCAGTGGAGCATGTTAGCAACCACGTTGCCACCATCTGCACAACTCTCCCACTCGTGGTTGCACGTCATCTTCATTTAAGTTAAATGACTTAACAGTGGAAATGGGCTGGTGCGTTTCACCTGGGCTTCGTCCATATTAAGGAGCCATCCAGCAAAGGGGTCTGGCCATTGGTCTGCCCTTTCTCTGGAGATGAGCATGCTCAGGGAACGGGCTTCGTGCATGACCAACACAGGCAGGAGCACACGGTTAGGGGTTATAAAGTGGGGTTAGTTTGCTCATGTCAGTCACCCACAGTTCTGGAAGCGTGCTCACCGAAGACCTGGAGGCCCACTGAAGCCAGTGCATTTTGGTACACACAGTCTGGAGAATAAGAACGGACAAAGGAGAGGATTTGGAGAACAGTCAGTTCCTGGCTTTGGAAGTCCAGAATTGGGAATGGACACGTAAAGAATGCCATAAACCCACGTGGGCTGATGCAGAAACGCCTCCCGGATATATCACTATGTGAAAGACGCAAGGTGTGTAACATGGCACAACCTCATCTGTGTATATGTTTACACAAGCAGAAACTTTCTGGAAGGTTACAAAAAAGATCATGAAGAGTAGGGTCAGCAGTTGGGGCGATATCTTTTCACTGATGCCCTTTTCTACCACTTAGCTGTTCATTTCACCATACAGAGAAAGTATGTTAATAATAAATTTTTTTTAAAGGGACTGGGACCCCCTTCACCTCCTGCCAACTTCATATAGTCTTTGGTTTCTCTGACAAAATCAAACAGTACTCATCTCACCTACGGCACTGCGGTATTATCTCAGAAAGGGAAAACCGTTCTGGAGGAAGGCTGATTCCACTGACGAGTTTGCTGACAGACACAGGCCATAAGCCACACAGTAAATAAGTGGGTTCCTGCAGGTGTGAGAGCCACGTGTGTATGAGGGTGAAGGTTCTGGTTTATCACAGGCTGTAATCTATGGAATAAAAACATGTACTCCACTTGATCTTTATGTTAATGGTCAGATTTAGAGGGTTTAAAGCTCCTTTTCCAAGAAAAGTTGTAATGGCCATCATTGTTGGAGACCTTCACTGCCAATTCACACAATGTGAAGTACAGGGGTCTGTATTTACGCATCACTCATCACCGAAGCTCCCCGAGGCTCGCGATAGCACTACTTAGTTATATCAATTATGAGTTTAAATGCTTCATTTCTTCCCATTTTTCTTTTAAGCAGAAAAGTATTTGAGAGAGTAACGATCACGGAACAGGACAAACTGCTTGCCTCTCATTAGCCAAGTAAAAGATGCTGCCTTGGATGAGTTCAGAGGTTTCAATCAAACCTAGACACAGCATGATGTGACTTACTACAGTCTCCAAAGGCTGGTTAGTGTTTGTATGTTGTCAACAAACCTTCCCATCGTGAGATCTCTATTTTAAATGGCATCATTGTTACTGGCCCAACAGGAAGGCCAAGAGAATGCAGCTGCCTGCCATCCCAGAGAACTGATGAGACACGGCCCAGGCTGCCAATGGTACCTGATCAGTGACACAGCCATGCCAAGGACTCTCCCTCCTCCTCTCACCTGCAGAGCCGCTGCACTATATACCTAGCTTGCTGGAGTAATTACTGCAAGAAAATAGTACCAGGAGATGTCCTGATGTTCAGGAAATACACAAGGAATTCTCTAGATGTAAAGAAGCATTAAATCTGCAACTTACTCTCAAATGGTTCAGAAAAAAAATAAGTAGATATTATGGTTGGTACAAAAGTAATGGCAAAAAGTCACAAAAAGTAATGGCAGAAACCACAATTACGTTTGCTTCAACCTAATATGTGTCTGTGTATGTGTGTGTCTGTACCTATGCAGAGAGAGACACAGAAAAAGAACTATAATGAGATCGGACTGTAATCCCAGCACTTTGGG